TGTACGTTAAACGGTCTCATCAAGGTTCCACTTAAATTCAGACGTCCCGACTTAAATTCATCAAGAGCCTCCTTTGGAACCGGAACTTCCACTTTTTCTCGACAATCCAAAAGCTTCGTTTTATTATCCCTCAAGAAAAAGGAGACGTTGCCCGGTTTACCATCAGCGGCGCAGGAAGTATTCATCGCTTTCCTTGAGAGGCCGGACTTAGAGCAGTTGCTAAGCAGAGTTATACTGTCAGTCGCTGTAAGAAGAATAAACAGAGTGTAATTCAAGGGAATGGGAATGTGAGTGGGAATGGGAATGGGAGTGGGACAAGGATGTCTTCGGGAAAGGGTCATCATCGGGGGTGTGCCAGATTGATTGATTCCGATCACAAAGAAGTCTAGGCCATTGATTTCCATAACAGGGTGCTGAACATTTTCATTGCATCTAAGTTTGTAACCATCCTCCCCGCAATATTGAGGTCGACGGTCGCCCCAGAAAGGATAAGAGAGGTTTTTGAAGCTGCCACAGTTGAAGGGTTGACTGCACTCCGTGAAACCGGCATCATCTTCGGCATCCAAGGACGGAATGAAGGCTAAGATGATGAAAATGGAGTACAGAGAGAGTAAAGCAACACCCATTTTTGGGAATTAGGAATAGTGAAAGTGGATGGATCTTAATTTAATTCAATTGGAATAGAACTATGCTTTTCATGGAAATTAAGTGCAAACTGTGAGAAATTTGGAACCTTGTTTTTCTGTGTTCTAAGTTCAAGATGCCGTAGAGAAGGAGAAAGGGAAAACAATACTGTTAAATTTGAACATGGAAATTGGAAAGGCATGTTATTGTTGGAATTTTCCAAGGGATCGAGAATGAATGATAGGAGATTGGTTGTTGACCTTCACTTTCAGTAGACCAACGGCTAATGTACGTAATGCAATAAATTTGATTGGGTGGGTTTAAAATGATGGATCACATAGTTGCACTCAGATTAATACTTCATGTACTCAGAACCGAGTGAGTCTGGCTGTTGATTTATTTTTACCTTTGCAAATGACCTTTAGTTAACAACTACTTTTGTTAGAAAAGTACCCGTAGTCCAAATTTTGAATGCCAAAGACCCAGAATCTATTATTGTAAGTTTTTTTTGATCCGCAAGTATTTTATTGAAGAGAGTAAAAGGCTCAATAGTCCAGTAACTTAATACATTTTGCAGGCTTACACTGTATCTTTCATCAATCCAAAAACCAGCAGGCCCATTCAGGTTATTCATCGAATAACTGGTGTGCATAGCATTAGGAGTTTCTAATCTTCAACAACCCATTGTCTTGGACTACCAAAAATCAGATTGCCCTTACATTCTAATCCTTGTTTTACCGATTTATATAAACCTTAAGTGCGAACGACTTAAACAGCTAGTGGTAATCTCCACTCTAAGTAAAGCATGTGAGTTTGAGTCACATCCCATTGGGCAACTAAAAATACAACAAAAAAAACCCTTAAGGAAGGGCATTACTTTTGAAGTTACTTTATCCTAGCTAAATAAAAACACAACAATAACCAAAATTTAACATCCTAAGCAGACCCTGGTTACACTTGTATATACACCAAGATAGATCATATTGATCCATAATTCACCATCAACTACTCCCATTGATGAATGTCCTCGAAGATGTTAGATCGTCTTCCGATGAAGATTCCATCATGCTACATTGAATGCTGTTTTCAATTGGTGAGTTGAAATATGGTGAACTTATCATTTGCCAATCACTTCTTCCTGCATCTACACTACTTGTCATGCACCCGTCCACCATGGATTTCTGAGCTGAGTACCCATTTTGCTGAAATGACCTCACCATCAGCTGTTGATTGTTGGGATACTGATCCACCATTTGCTCACCTGAATAAATTTCTCATGTAATTAGTCATACATTCAGTTAAATTAATGAATTTCAAGCAGATGTTACAGAAATTGCTTGTACAAAACTTTGTAGGTACGTACCTTGTGTTAGCAAGGCTGTCTCATTCAAAGCTCCTTCAACCTCTTCTAAACTATGCCAATTTGCATATGCTAGTCTTACCAAACTTTCAACATACGACTGCAAATGCAATATAGAACATTATCAAATAGAGTTCTGGAATTATAAAGTGAAGATTGAGTAATTCAAAATTCCATTCAAGTATCAGAGCACGTACCCTATTGATATTTGTTTTATCGCGAAAGGGATACATGTAACCATTAATCACTGCCCTAATCAGTTGGCATATGGGATTTAAGATTATAGTGTAATTTGATCCACGGAAAATGTAGAACTTGTTTCCCATAACACATTTTCTTGCATGCTTTATCGTTACTTCCCACATCTTTTCAGACATCCCGTTGCCTAAAATCTGCTCAAACGAAATTGAAATAGATTAAATTATTGGATGAAAAGAAGATAAAAATTTGTTGTTGTAACAATGAATTGGGGAAACCAACCCATACTTACTCTTTTAAGTTTTGCTGGATCAACAACTGATAGTTTCAAGAAGTCTTGCACCGTTTTGATGCCTTGAGAAGACAGTTTCTTATGGAATGCTCCATCCTTGCCAATTTTCTCCAGACGCCATACCTCATCTTCCAGCATTGGGGGATGATGTTTCTTGTACACTTTCACACATGATAAAGAAATTAAGAAAGAAAATGTTAAAAAGAATGTGTAATGTTTTAATAAATTAATTATTTATTGCAAATTAGTTAAATAAATTGATAAATTTAGATTAGACAATGAAACATATGATAAATTGGGCATTGACCTGAGACCCAGGGTAGTAGATGTGAAAGGAATTGATAAAGACAATAAAATAAAAGTAAAATAAAAATATGGTGTACTTCAACCAGAATCATCTTGTTTTGAGATTAAATAGTGATATTATATATTATTCTGTTTTAATATATTTTATAATATTTTATTAAAAATTATTATTTTTATTTAAAATTTAAAAT